GGCAGACTTTGGATTTTACTTTCATAACAGTGGGAATCATAATTTTAAATAGGGATGCATATGACCAGATTTGGGGTTATTTTAGTTTGAACCTGGAATGTCTCCCAAAGTCTCATGTGTTGAAGGCTTGGTTCCCAACTGGTAACACTGCCATTGAAAAATGGTAGAGACTTTAGGAGGTGGAGCCCAGTTAAAAGGTGGGTCACTGGAGAACCCTCTCTCTCTGCTTCCTGGCTAGCATAAGGAGAACAGTTTTTCTCCGCCCTGCCCTTCTTGCCATGATGTTTGTTTTACCACAGGTCCATAATCAACAGAGCCAAGTGACCATGCACTGAAACTTCTCAAACTGTAAACCAAAATAAACCTTTCCTCCTTTAAGTTGTTATTCTCAGGTATTTTGTCACAGTATGGAAAGCTGACCAAAACAGTGTTCTTAAGCCATGACCCTGAGTGCCCGCCACCACCAGACTAGACCACATGGCATGAGGCATCTTCAGTATTGACTAAGTCCTCCAGCCAGTCCTCTAGTGACAGACACCAGGAGTGTCACTAACATTTTTCTATAGCAGACAGTGCTCTGACAAATATTCTTTTCCTTCCACCATTTTCCACCTGGCGAGTCTAATTTAGGGATATCCTCACCAACATACAACATCACCAAGCATGATTTCCAGGATTGGCCAGGATTGGCCAACCCATCTCATCACCAAGCATGATCACCAAGCAAGGAAAATTGCTGATTTCAGCTATTTTTCTTCAGTATTTCTAGTTTGTTTTAGTTTTAAGGTTTTCTAACTGCCATGTTACCAAAAATAGAAGTTGGGGTGTTTTTTAATTAGAAGGAAAGAATTAAAGCACCCTCAATGTCTAACTATAAAAAAAAAATAGATTACGATTAACTTCTTGGTGCACACCTAGAGGCTTTTTCATTCCATTAGATGTACTCCTGAGTGGAAGTAAAGGGCTGTTCCTGATTCTCATATACAGAAGAATACGTGGACATCTCTGTTGAATGCCAGCCACCAGCCCCTTGCTTGAAACAGACACAGCCCAGGCTTCAGGGACTCATTCTGACAGCCTATCCCACAGAGCTGACTGCGACACCAGAGTTCTCTGCCCTGCAGGCATTGAGAAGGAAAGACCCCACGAGCAGCCATCTCCATAGAGGACCTCCAGGAAAGAAGAGGACAAACAGAAAGGGGACAATAGGGATTCCAGGCAGAAAGAAGATCTTGGACGCTTTCAGTTTGAAAGGTTTCCAAAATATTAATAAATAAAGTAATAAATGTCATAACAAGGTGGCAGAAGCCCCCCGAATTTTCAAAGTTTATAATGGATGTCTTAACCAACAAAGAATTTGCCTGGTAATAAAGGTCTAAGCTCTAAATGTGGGGCCCTTGGTTAGTGAACTATGATCATTTAAGTTGTTATTCTCAGGTATTTTGTCACAGTATGGAAAGCTGACCAAGACAGTGTTCTTGAACCGTGACCCTGAGTGCCCACCACCACCACCCTTTTGAGTCTGCTAGGACTGCATAGCAAAGTACCACAGACTGGATCAAACAAGGATTTATTTTCTCACAATTCTGGAGATCAGAAGTCCAAGATCAAGGTGTCGCCTCTTTCCTCTGCTTGGATGGGGCAGTCTACCTGTGGCCCTTCCTCTATGTGTGTCTGTCTCCTGATCTCTTACATGCACAACAGCATGCTGGATTAGGACCCACCCTCCACACCTCATTTTAACTTAATTTCCCCTTTAAAAAGACCTATCTCCAAAGAGAGTTGCATTTGAAGGTACTAGGAAATAGGATTTCAACATATTGATTTGGAGGGCAGTACACAGTAGACCCTAAGTGGATAATTAGCATTTGAAGGTGGAGACGCATAAGGATAGGGTAAGGATCCTTGGAGAGGTGTCAGGGACCAGAAAGTCCCTGGAGGCTGAGAAAGTTGGCCTCTGTAATTTAAAACTACTGGTGGAGTTGGGGGTGGACAATAAGCCCCAAAGCAGAATTACAATAGAGTTTTTGAGCTCTTGCTGTAGCAATTGCAAAGAAAGAGGGATCAGAAGGTGAGGAGAAAAACTGGGGACCAGGGTATGAGGGATGGGGGGAGGGACAGGAGGCATATGGAGAGGAGACTGGAGCCTTCTTCTCCCAGCAAGACTCCCAATCCCCAGAGGTAAGATCAACCCATAACTCTCACCACGTACATTTTACAATGATGACACTGAGACTTTCCGAATGCTCACAACAGTTTCTTACAATTGAAGTTTCATCGGCTAAAACAATCAAGCCTGGGGTGGCCCTTCAAACACTTGCCAAATGTACTGAAAACAGTGGGGAAGACAAAATTCAAATTGGGGGTACCCACCTTCAGAGATGCAAAGCTCAGGGGATGGGGATGGAGGATGGAGGATGGGGAAATTGAGCCAGGAACCAAGGACAGGAAAGTGGGATTCTGAGGCAAAGTAGAAGCCGGATGTGCAAGTTGGGGGGCACTAGCTAATGTTGGGGACAGCAGGTAAAAAGGGTGAAGCAAGAAGCCACCTTATGTACTTTTTTGGATGTTCCACTGGCTGGTGGCAGGGGTAGGAGAGGATGTCCCAAGCTGTGGCAGCCAACCCCATCTTACACATTACCTCTCACTTTCCAAAAAATTGAGATGTGGCTCCAGATCCCAACCCTCCTCAGTCTCACCCCCTTTCTAACTCCCACATTGTGCACCATGACCCTAGATCAGAACACCCAGGCAGTCATCCAGGAAGTTAAGAAACATGGCTGGCTGGCCCCTCTGGTGCAACCACACACACACACACACACACACACACACACACACACACACACACCCCAGATTCTGCCCAGCTGAACCCAGGCTCCCTAGACCCCTCTGAAGTGAGAGGCGTTCCCACGCAGCTGGCCTAATGGGCAGATAGCCAGAAGGTCTGGAGCCAGGGAGCCAGCTGCAGTCCAGGCCTCTGCATATGGCCCTCCACCAGCCAGCTGGCCTGCACCC